TTTAATTCTACCCTAATGACATGCAATTTGAGAACATCATACCTGTTTGTGTATTGTAAGAGCATTATAAGTTCCCAAACCAGCATCCTCAGCATAAGGAAAGGAAGAACTTTGACAACCCCAGGCTTCTCACCCCTGGAGTTTCCAGAACATAGATGTGACGATATTGTGTACAGTGTACCACTCTATGTGAAATAGGAAGTGTCAGGCCTTTGATAGTATACTTTTCTACCTTGCCTGGTCACATTTAAATTTAATGAGAATTTAATGAGAACTAGAGCTTTATAGTGACACTGAATGCACCTCCATATGTCCTGCTCAGTCTTTCCATGAGCTAAGATACTTGCTGATTATGTTGCATCGATCCCCTAAGCAAGGGGGTTCCTTAGCAACAATGATGTAATCACTGCAAGAAATTATGCTGATGTCTCTTTTTAACTTAAAAATTGTTAAGTTGCCATGATTACTACATATCTCTAAAGAATGTGCTATTTTATTTGTTGCATGGCATTTTTAACAATTTAATAGTCATTAACTGCACTAACTTTGTTGATTAGGTCCTAATGAGGCCAAAAAATATATTCAGTCCCATCAAGCAACTCAACTTTGGCCTTTTCCTAGCAAATAGACTTTTACTTCTCATTCTATTTAGATCACTTACAAATATGTATATTGTCAGTGGAATAATTATGTTTTAATTACATTTCATAATCAGTATTTAGGATACATGTGAAGCTAAGATCAATATTAAATTTGTCTGATTTAATTTATTGAATGGAATAGTGCTTTCAATACTCTCAATGTAAATAGGTAAGTAACCCAGTATCTGAATTAAGATGACCTATGTGGTAATAATCCACAGCATTTCTTAATTGAGTAACTATAATTTTCTTAATACACTATTCTTTACCATTCTATAGCTTTCCAGATAATACAAAAGCCCCATTATTTTTTTGTCTTTTATTTTCATAAATCATAAAGCTATTCCATTTTCATAATTAACCAAGTTTCTTTACTTATTTTTCTTACAATGATTTTATAATAAATGGAAACAAAAATAAAATTATGTGTTAAAAAATGGAATATCCATGTTTGTATTATCTCCAGCATTGAACATTTTGCTCAAAAAATAGGCATGAATATAAAAGAGGGACTGTTTGGAGGGGGAACCAGCAGAAATGGAGAGGTTGAAAGGAGAGGGTGATGGGTTGGGTGAATATGATCAAAGTACTTTGTATGCATGTATGAAAACAGAACAATAAAATGTAAAAAGGGGACGAAGGGAATTATAAACTGTATAGAGGGGATGAATTTGATCAAAGCAATTATATGCATGTATGGGAATATAACAATGAAACTCCTTTGTACCATTAATATACACTAATAAAAATAAAAAATTAAAAATAAAGAAGAAAAATGTATATCTTAAAGAAATCTCTGGACATATCTTACCAAATAAAATCCCAAATTTCTTCTTTAACTAGAAGTTTGATAATTTTTTGAAAAGGTCTGTGATACTTTCTGAGAAATATAAATGATCTTGAAACTTATCAATACTTCAAATCTTTAGAATGAAGCACGTTGCTTTGCTTTGCAGTACATGGTTAATATATTTTAGTAATAGTATTTAAAATTGTTCCTCTGGGAAATGATCCCTGGAACACTAAAAAGGACTAGAGTTAATTAAATAATTTTTATCTCATAGGGAGAATGTAGAATGCCCATAGAATTACCTGTTTTTCTTGATGTCATCTCAGCAATTCAATCTGTATTAAATAATGCTAGCTCTTTGTGCTGGGCTACTAAACACACTGAGTCCTTTGGTGATTACAAGTATGAAAGTGACAAGACTGTGTAAAGAGTATAGATTGTCATTTTTCCTATAAGATTTTCACACTTTTGTAGGAAAAATTCTGGCTCAGTTGTTAGAAATTTATAGCATGCACTTAAATCTCACACAACTTAAAATTTTTAGTTTAATTTATTTTAAAAATATTATTTTAAATATATTTGTAATATAATCTTCATAAAGTGATAAGCTATATCTAGCAAAGTTCATAATGGGCATGATTTTACCCTTTTTTTTATTTTAAAGAATATGGCTATTAGTTTATTTTACTATGAGAACATTGCCAAGGTAATATTAAATGAAAACAGTACCTTATAAAATCATAAAGTAGCAAGAAATTTTTCTTTGATTTTTTAACCATTAGAATTATTATCATTGGCATGTCTGAAGTCATTTATGCTTGAGAAATATTAAACTTTGAACTATAATAACACAAATCTGGAAATAACTCCTTTTATTTCATTATAAATATATTTGTTGCAAACTCAAATATTTTAATTAAATATAAACTTAAAATGGTAACAAATAAGTGCAATATGATGGTCACAAATTAGAACAAATTCTAATGATATTTTTAGGGGGTGGGAAGCTTTGCAATGGTCCCAGGAGTTTAAGGTCAACTATGCATGAACAGGGGTATTAACAAACAGCTAGATAGGCAGGCTGACCATAAGGGACCATCCCCACCTCCACTCCCAGAAGCAACAGCATCCCCCTACCCTCGCCCCCACCAGTGGTATTGACCTTTCCATCTTCTCTGAAGGAATTAACTCTGCATTGTCTGAGAAAGCAATAATGGCCTCTCCTGAGATGGGTACCAAGCAAGGCAATGCAGATTCTCCTCAAAACCTATGCCTACAATTTCTCTTTGCTTCTAGACACATAACAAGACTCAATTCCCAGCATTTCCTAAAGAGGAGATGACCCAGAAGAAGGTACACCTACCTCAAAATAATTTCTTAGGTTATATTATGTATGTATATATATATATACACACATAGGTTATATGTATATATTATGCATATATATATATATACAAAGAACATTCATGGGAATAGATATTAAGGTTTTATTATAGTGAAATAATGAACTTGAGTTTGGATTGGTCAAGTTAATTTATATGGGCCTACTAAGCAGAGTTCTGCATTTAATGTAGCAGCATGAGGAGTTAGGAAAGTTTGGAATTATTTGGTTGATTGTCTGAGACATGGGTCAAATGATGTGCCAACTGGCTAAACCAGAGATGCCCCATCTCCCATGGTTTACAGTTGATGACAGGATTAGAAAACTTAGGGAGGTTGAAAAGCAGGAGTGTATTTCTCATGTATTCAACCACACTAAAAGGGTTCTCATCAATACTTGGAGAAACAGATTTGTGATGTGAACCCAGGGTGATTACTCTTCTCTGTGGAGCATACCTTACAGCAGAAAACATGGTCACTCAATTGAGAAAGTTAAATGCATTGGGAATAATTGGATCCACTGTGGCAGGGGCCAAGTGGTGGTGCTCAGTCATGAAAGGCAAGGTGACTGTAGTTATAATGGAGAGCAAAGGCAAAGCAACAATAAGAGTAGTCTGATTTATATAGACCTAAGGCATTGACTAGTTAACCATTGTGTTCCTAGAAGTGAAATGGAAAGCCTACTAAATTCTTGATCTATGTAAGCAAAAACCTTTAGGTCAAGTGAACAAAGAGTAACTTGAATCATATAAACAGAAGCACAGTCCCTCTTTCAATTCCCATGCTTGAACAACAACAGAGACACTTAAGAATTAAGATCCTTACAGGAAATACCATGTTGGGAATGAGAATGTCATAGCCCAAAGAACCTGGGACCAGGAGAAAGACTCAACTCCCAGAAGAAAGACTGTCTGTCAGTTCCCCTAACTGGGAACCACATCTCAATCTACACATCCATGTTTCCTGGCTTTTGTTTAATCTTTTCTAGATTGCTATGGGGGAGATGATCAAAAATTTTTCTTTTTCCTTTTCTTGGCCAATACTGTAAATTCATTTTCCTTTCTTATGTATAGTATATATTTTCTCTTAACATGGGCAAGTGTTCAGACTGAGGCCAAACTTCATGTCAGGGACTTCTGGTACCAAGGTAGTTCACACAATCAGAACCCTTTGAATGAAGGAGAGTCAAGGTCCCTTCCAGGAAGGATCCTGTTACCTACCAAAATTTAATACTGTTTGTCTTTCTTCCATCCTTCCACAAAGGGATCTAGAGCCTTTTACCAAGGTAATTGTTCATTGGGAAAATGGAAATAATCAGAATCTGGGGAGTCTACTGGATGCTGGCTCTGACCCTGATGTTGAATCCAGTAGACCAAATACATCACTTGGCCTTCTAGTTGTAGTAGGGCATTATGGAACCCAGGTGATCAATGAGGTTTTATCTCAGGTCCAACTTACAGTGGGTCTTCAAACCCATCCTATAGTCATTCCCCAGGTCTACAAAGCAAAATTAGAAAAGAAATTATTTGAAGCTGACAGAATTCCCATATTCATTCTTTAAGCTATGGAGAGATGGCTATTACTGTGGGAAAGGCCAAATGGAAGCCATTAGAGCTGCCTCTACCTCAGAAAATAATAATTAAAAAACCATATCGCACCAACAGCCAACATGCCTAAGGGGCTTATTTGAAGATTGGAAGCAACACATTCCTCATTTTGATCTGTTTTCTAGTCTACCAAATAACTTGAAAAGCTGTTAACTTGAATGGGCCCAGAATAAAGATAGCTCTGTAACAGGGCCAGGCCGCTGTGAAAGTTGTTCTGTTACTTGGGCCATAAAAACTTGAGGTTTTAAATGGCAGGCAGAGATTCTATTTAGAACCTTTGACAGGTCTCAAAGGTGAATAGTAGTGAGGGTCCAGAGCATTTTGACCAAAGCCATACAATGTTCACAGGTAAATACTGTCCATTTGAGATACACTTTTTGTCTAGATAATGGGCTTAGTAGAAATTAAATGCTTCACTATAGGCTACCAAGTTGTGATGTGACCTGAGACGTCTATCATGAACTGAGTGGTATCTGACCCATCAAGTCATAAAGCTGGCATGTATGGCAGGATTCCATCATCAAGTGGAAGTGGTATGTACATGATTGGGCTGAGCAGGTCCCAGAGTCACAGGTAATTTATATGAAGAAGTGGCTCAAATGTCCATGGTTCCTACTTCTGCTACACTGCTTCTCCCAGTCTGTACCTAAGGCTTCATGATCAATTGATAGAGGAAGAGAAGACTAGGATCTGGTTTACAGATGCTTCTGCAGATACCATCCAAAAGTGGACAACTGCATCACTACGGCCTTTATCTAAGACAGCAATGAAAGGAAATCCTCTCAACAGGCAGAACTTTGGGCAGCTCATGTCGTTGTACAATTTTTCTTTAAGGAGAAATGGCCAGATTTCAAATTGCATACTGATTCAGGGGCTATAGTCAATAATTTGTCTGGATGATCAAGGACCTAGATAAAAACTGTTTAGAAAACTAGTGACAAGGAAATTTGGGAGAATGGTATATGAATGTCTTCTGAATGGGCAAAAAATGTGAAGATATTTGTATTCCATGTGAGTTATCATCAAATAGTGATATTAGCAAAAGACTTTAACAATCAGGTGGATAGAATGGCTCAATTTTTTGGATAGTAGTCAGCTTCTTTGTCCTATATCCCCTGTTATTTCCCAATGAGTTCTTTATCAAAGTTTCTATAGTGGCAGGGATGGAAGTTATGCTTGGGCTCAGCAACATGGACTTCCAGTCATCAAGGCTGAGCTTGCCAAACCCACTGCTGAGTTTCTAATCTGCCAGAAACAGAGACTCACAATTAACTCATATCATGGCATGATTCCCAATGGTGATCAGCCAGCTACCTAATGGCAGGTTGGTTACATTATGCAAATTCCATCATGGACAGGACAGTGTTTTATCTTTACTGGAATAGTGCTTACTTTAAATATGAATTTTCCTTCCCTGTACACAATGCTTTTGTCAAACCTGGTATCTGCAGGCTCCAAGAATGATTTATCTATCATCATGATTCCATACAGAATTGCTTCGGACCAAGGAACTAATTTCACAACCAAAGAAATGCAGCAACAGGGTCTTTTTCACATAATTAACTGGTCTTATCATGCGGAAACAGATGTCTTTATAGAACACTGAAATCACCCTTTGATATTGCTGTGAGAACTCTAAGTATGTTATAATACTTTTCAGGACTGAAGAAAGGTTTTCAAGAAGTCTTTATATATTTTGAAACAATATTTAATAAATAACTCTATTTTATCCACAGTCAGGATTTCCCACTTCAGTAATGAGGAGGTAGAAATAATGTACCATTACCCGTAGTAGCCTAATAGAAAAAAATTGCATTTCCTATTTACACAACTTTATTCTTTTCTGGAATGCAGGAGCTTCTTTTATGCATCACTCAGTATTACCATGCTTAATAATTAAGATCAAGAAAAAATTACAAGCAACCCAATCCAGACAAGATTTTGACTGGCCCAGCTTCTTCACAAATGAAGGTTTGTATAACCCTGACAGGTAAGAACCACCACTAAATGATGTCACTGATGAAGGCAAAGAGAATACAGAATGAATAATAGATGACCATAGATATAAATGCCAACTATGACCACATGATTATTCACAGAAAGGAAAACTGTAGTTGTCACAAGTGTTTCTTCCCTATCTTGTTAAGAATACACACCCACATCTGTAAGTACACAGACATATTTTTTTAAAAATTGTTTTCTTTCCATTCTCATTCATGTAACATGCAAAGTCAGGTTATTAACTTTATATCAGTATTTAAGCATTGCTAATTTTATATGAGAGTATCAAAGTCATTGGATATCAAGAGAAAAGTAAATATCACCCAGGAAATTTGTCTCCACTCCATGGAAGGATTCAGAGTGCTTTTGGTTGTTTAAAGGATACCTGCATTATTTTAGGTAGCACTATTGCTTATTATTGTCTTTAAGATTACAGTTTAATGAGATGTAGGTGTCAAGTTGACACCAGGTAGACCTCTGATAGTTAATCCTAGATATTAACTTCATTAAGTTAAGAAACACCTAGAAACCTGGTACATCATTTTTTTCAGGTGTATCAGTGATGGTGTTTCCACAGATTAGTGTGTGAATCTGGGGGACTTAAGCCATCAGCCCCTCAGATATTCAGGTTTTCAGTTTCAGACAGAGCTATAAAGTCATATCCAAGGACTTCAGATTGGAACTGATATACACCACCACCATCCCAGTATCTCCATCTTGTAGATGGCCTGTTGTGGAACTTCTCAGCTTCCATAAGTAAGTGAGGCAATGCACTACCAAATCTCATAAATTCATCTCAGATCTCATCTTATCTCATTTCTCTCTCTCTCTCTCTCTCTCTCTCTCTCTCTCTCTCTCTCTCTCTCTCTCTCTCTCTCCCTCTCTCTTCCTCTCCCTTTCCCTCTCTACCTTTTTCCCTCCCCTCTCTCTTTCTCCTCATGTTTCAGTTGCTCTGGAGAACTCTGACTACTATGAACTCTCATATTTGGTTGCACATGGTAATTGTAGAATTTCAAAAAAAAGCTCTGTAAGCTCTCTATAAAACAATAGCTTAAAATATGGTCTCTCAACCTTCGTGTTTGTCCATTCACTACATATGCCACAAATTTAGAATATTGACCCTAGCAAGAAAAAGAAAATGAGTTTTGATTGAAGAATACATTTTTTATTTCTTAGGGATAGTACAAGAAAAATTTTTCAGTTTTAATAAACTTTATCTAGTTCTATCAGAAATTTTTTATTTCCTCACCATGAAGATTCTTTTATGCTGTTAATAATCAAGTAACAAGTAATGAATGAAGTGAATGTATCTGTGTGATTTGTGGAGCCTGCATGTGTCCTGTACTGTGCCCACCTGTATTACATAGACTACAGTGCTGACATCCATTGGAGCTTATAAAAGATTAATATGTGAACATTTGCAAAGTTCAATAATTATTTCAGTTGTATAATGAGCACCAATTAGAAACTTTTAATGTATTGAAACTTTAGTGAAACTTTTAGAATAGTGAACTTTAGTGATGTAACTGACAGCAAAACCTCATTTCTTGCAATATGTTAAAAAAAATAAAACATAATAGCACATGGAGAATTTGTTGTTATTTGGGAACATATCCCTCATGAGATTAACATAATTATGTCATGGAGAGGATGTAATCCCTGTGGTCTCTAGTAAGAGTGAAAATACTGCCTACTCCGTATTCATGCTATAATTTGGAATCATGTGAAGTCTGGAAGCCCAACAAGAAAAACAAAGTTTACCTTTAATTCTAGGTATGTCCTACAAACAATTTCCTGAAAAATTATATTATACTTGTGGAGAGAAGATTATTTTGGTTTTTGGTTTCCTTGGATCCTAGGTACCAAATCATTTAATTATTCTGTTTAAATGAAAATGAGTAAAAATATATGTGTAAAACTATAGATAAGTGACCAGAATATTGCTTCTGATCATGTCTCTAAGTGTAGCCTTCCAAAAGGTTGTAGAGTTCAGAAGATCAGAGTATAATGTTTTTATATTTTATTTTCTGTATTAGGTTTTATAGGACTCTTTATAATTATGTTTTCTTCTGTTATTCATATAACAGATTTGCATATAATTAGAATATCTGAAATTAAATTGTTCTCTGTAAATTTCTATGAAAATAAAACAAGATTCACAAGTCAAATGACGAAACAGTATGAACCCATTTTAGTTGGGTTTTTTTTAGATTTAACAGAGAATCCAGATGTCTAGTGCCTCATCTCAGACCACTGAGTCTAGGAGAGCTGTGCTGCTGAAGTTTGATAGACACCTGTGTGAGATGACCGGATTCTAGGTACTATCTGCCTTCTTTGTTGCCTTCACAGATGCCTGGCCCTGAGACCACAGTGAGTGGAAACCAGTCCCTTTGCACTAAGTTCACATTTGTGGCTTTTTCCTCTCTAGCAGAGCTCCAACTCATACTCTTCACTGTGTTCTTAATCATCTACTTATTTACTGTAGGAGGAAACCTCATCATCATCTGTGTGATCCTGGCCACCTCTTCCCTGCACACTCCCATGTATTTCTTCCTGGTGAATCTCTCCTTTTTGGAGATGTGCTATATCACCAGTGTGGTGCCTCAGATGCTGGTGCACCTTCTCGTGGAGCCCAAGACTATAAGTGTGGAAGGCTGTGCAGCACAGATGTATGTATTTGCCATCCTGGTACTGACAGAATGCTGCCTATTGGCAGCCATGTCTTATGACCGCTTCATAGCTATTTGCTACCCACTACATTACACTCTCCTGATGGGCCCTCAGGTTTGTTTGATATTGGCTGCATCATCGTGGATCACTGGAGTGGTGGTGGAGTCTGCCCAAATCACCTGGATCTTCACTCTGCCCTTCTGTGGAACAGGAAAAATTCAGCACTTTTTTTGTGACATCATGCCTGTTGTGAAACTGGCTTGTGTTGACACATCCCACAATGAGATTGTGTTGTTTGCTGTTTCCCTGATCTTCATCATGAGTCCCTGTCTCCTGGTTCTGTGCTTTTATATATGCATTTTTGTCACCATCTGGAGAATCCCTTCAGCAGCTGGCAGACACAAAACTTTTTCCAGGTGTTCCTCTCATGTTCTGGTTGTTTCTCTCTTCTATGGCACAGCCTTATTCACTTATCTCCAACCCAAGAGTGCACACACTCCAGACACAGACAAAGTAACTGCACTCATGTACACAGTGGTCACACCAGCTCTAAATCCTGTTATCTATACTTTGAGGAACAAGGAAGTGAAGGAAGCCTTTCGAAAGGTAACACATAGGAGCCTTCAGACACAAGTAGCCTAATTTAACCATGGTAGCTGAAGCTTTCACCACCACACAGAGAGGTCATCCAAAGCTTTATGATTCTTCTATCAATATATATAAGTATATCTGTCTGTGTATACATATACACATATTTATAGCTAGATGATAGGTAGCTAGATAGATAGTGTGTCATTGATGCATTTATAGCCTAGCAACCAGACAACACTTGTATTAAGTCTACATTTTTCAATGCTCACAAGCAAATGGTAATGTGTGTTAGCATCCTTAAATTGTATAATTATTCATTCATTCAACTATATTTACCAACCATCTCCTGTATCAGGGTCACTGTTGTCTTTTTTTTTAATTTGGTGTAAAACTTTAAAATTTAATCTTGTGGGGAATAGTGTAAATTAGAACATTAAGACTTATTGCCCTCTACATCCAGATAGATAAGGACTACATCTATATAGATAGGTAGATAGGTAGATATATAGATATAGATATAGAAATAGATATATCTTTTGTCACAAAGCATTGCCTAAGGGTTGATGAAGAGAAGGCTAATGCTGACCCTAATTCCTGTTACTGACTGTAGCCAACTAATGGAAATGTCCTCAGATACAGTGAATTGAAATTTTGGCGACTGGAAAGCATATGGTTTCGAACCTTGGAAATTGTAAGTAAGGTTGAATGGACCTTCAGACATGGAGGTGACATTTACAATACAAGCTAAAGTTTACAATATGGAAATATTTTGAACACCTGTGTTTATTATCATTGAAAGCAGGTGAAGTACAGAAGTTTGTGATAAAGAATTAATTTAAATATAGAATAACTATTCTTAGCTCAATAATCATTTTTCTCTCTTTAATTTTCTTCCTCAGGAAGTAGATGTAAATTATCAAAATCCAGACTGGAGCTTTAATTTACATAGAATTGTATAAGAGAAAAATAGAATCATGTCATCATTTGGATAATTTCTTTCTGTTTAACTTTCTTTTGAACTACTGATTTATATTTTAAAAGTCTAAATCCATTATTTTTTCTTAAAGTTCCCTTAAGAAATACAAATGTAACATTTTAAAATCATCAGCATGAAAATCTTAAGAAAAAAGTTCACATTGAATGTGTTTGAATGCAATTAATCTTTTTAAATTATGTGTGAAATATCCCCTGTAATGCATTACTTAAACTGAACAGGGCAAGGCACCCTACTCATGCTTGTAATCCTATATATTTGGGAGATCAAAACTATTGAGGTTTGAGGATAGACCAGGCAAAAAGTTAACAAGACCCCCAACTTAACAAAGAAGCTGAGTATACTGGTGCATACATGTAATCCAGTGTATATAATGATATATATATATCATGATATATGTGGGCTGAGGTCAGTCCCAGGAAAAAAGGAAGAGCCTACCTGAAAAATAAACTAAAAGCAAAAAGGCTGGAGGTGAAGCTCAAGTGGCATAATGTCTGCCTGGCAAGTACTAGGCTTTGAATTCAAACCCTAGTACTGCCAAAAATAAAAGACAGAAAATTACAAGGTTATGTGTGAGTATACACACAAATATTATAGAACTTTTTTACTATTTATTAAATATGGGAGTTTCCTCCCTAAAATTCCTTTATTGAAAGCCAGTATATGTTTTATTAAACTTATCCATTATAGTCAAGTTATCACTCAGTCCTAAGCTTCAGGATAGCAAGCATCAGAACATGGAGTGTTTTTTTTTAATTTTTATTTTATTCATATATGCATACAATACTTGAGTCAGTTCTTCCCCCTTCCCCCACCCCCTCCCTTACATCACCCCCCGCTCCCTCCCTTACACCACCTTACCCCTCACTACCCAGCAGAAACTATTTCGCCTTTATCAATACAATTACAATAAGAAAGGATAGACATGGTTATTTTTTTTCTTTTTTTTATTATCATGCTATTGTTATATTTGGGGTACATTGTAACATTTGCAAAAGTTCTTAGAATATATCATAGTTGAATTCACTCCCCTCTATCATTCCCTTTTATCTCCCCTTCCACCATTCCTGAACTAATTTCATAGTCCCATTTTTCCATTTCCATACATGAGTACATAATATCCATACCATATTCACCCTTCTACACCCTTTCTTTGTATTCCCCCAACACACTGGTACCAACCTCCCACACAGGACCTGTTTTATTTTCCTGTTCTCTGTTTTTGCAAAAAGTCATTTTTGTTTGCTTAAGATAGCTATACAGGGAATATCACAACATTTCCATAGTGATTTTAAATGCAGAATCTAAACATGGCTGAAATTAGAAACTGAACGAAAACATCCATTTCCTCTGAACAATAACATGAATATGTGCTCTCTCTTCTGGGAAGAAATGAGTGTTTGTGATCCTACATGAGGTAGCAAGTCACCTATCAAAAAATTATGCTAAAATAACTGAACATATATATGAATAAAAAGGATGTAGTCACAAACCTTATGTCTTTCACATTTAACCCAAAATGGATTATAAACCTAGATATAAAATAAAAATGCAAGATTCCTGGAAGGTAACATAGGAGGAACCATGCTTGCTTATGGTGATGAGTCTTTACACTAAGATCAAAGGTACAATTTATGCAAGAAATAATTGATAATTGGAGTTCATTAAATTTAAAACTTTGCTTTGCAAAAGACAATGTAAAGAGAAATGGAAGATAAGCCACTGACTGGTAGAAAACTCCTACAAAAACCTACATTTTTATAAGGCCTAATATCCAAATCTACAAAGAACTCTAAAAATTCAATAGTAAGAAAAAACCAATTTGATTAAAATATTAGCCAAAGACCCTAACAGACCAAAGGAAAATCTCTATTCCTCGTCTCAATTTTGCTGTGAACATAAAACTGCTATAATAAAATCTTTTCAGAAAGATGATAAATTTCCACCAAATTTAGCAGCTTTCTGTGATAGTTGAAAAATGTGATAAAACATCTGTATCTGAAAGAACGTGGAGTTTAGAGACAATGGAAAAGAAAGCCAGCAGAAAGGAGTGTTGGGTGTAGACTAGCAGAGGAATCTCAGCAATGCAGAGTTGGCCATTCTCTACAAAGAAGTAGTCTGAACACGAACAGTGCTGCAAGAAAATGATCCACAGTCTCCCTGGGACACTGAACACCTTCAGTGGAATAGCATTTGATAATATCGGTTATAGAGCCACGTCATTAACTATATCTTGTCATTCCCTTGGTCTTACCCAGTAAAGTAACTTGTTCTTTTCCTCTCCTTCATCTCAGGGGTACCAATTCACTGGAGAAAATGAGGTCTAGAAGCTGTAAGGTATTGCCTTAGTTATGAATTAAATGAGAGTAAACATTTTTAAAGTTTCAATTACCGTAATTTTAAACGCTGATACGTACATGAGAGTCACAGAGATTGACAGAAAATTAAAGGATAAAAATGGGGGAACTAAAAGAGCCAGGTTAAACAGTGAATGGAGAACAAGTAAAGCCATTCCATAATTTTGTTTCTAAATATATGAGAATTTTCTTACAAATGTTTTATCATTTGAAAGCTAGTTACACACTAAATATTTGTTATATGCTGGCATAAGCAGAGAATTGAATGATTACACTGTCTATCCTTAAGTTATTTCTTAAGTCTGAGAATTTACCAAATCAATGAGAGCCTCATTAGTTAATAATTTGTATTCACCCTTTTAACTAATATACTGATCCATAAATTTATAAAATGTAATGTACATACAATCTATTCACTGTATCATTAGAGTTCTTTGTTTTTCAATACTCTTTAAAATTTCCCAACTACTTTAGTAAAAAAATTTCAAGTGCAAAAATATACAACAGCAAAACTTTCTTCTTGCTGTTTATTTACTGTTTTTCTTTTCTGCAGTGTTATGGATTGAACCCAGAGCTTCACATTACTGGGAAAGTGCTCTATCACTTGAGCCAAGCCTCCAATCCTTTTGTTTTTATTTTATTTTATTTTTAGATAGGGTCTCACTAGCTTTGCAACAAGTGGGCTTGAATTCATAATTCTGATGCCTCAGCCTCCAGAGTTCCTGGGGTTGCAGGGCATGACACTAAGTTTGAATAAAACTTCTCTTTTACAGAGGAGAATGTTTGCCATTCTAAGGAAACAGATGTATTAGAAAATACTTTCATTTCAGAGGATGAAAAGCGTGTGGAAGAAGAATCAGCATTAGAATGCATTTGAAATTGTAAAAGTATGTCTTTTCCTATAAAATTTATTAGCAAAATGTTTCTTATAAAGCTCCTGGAGAGATTAAGACCATTTAAAATTATTTTATCCTAAAAACAAAAACAAACTCTGTCATTTGGTTCCATAGAACCTAAAGACACATTCCTGTGTTTGGCTCTAATATTACATATATTCCAATGACATTGGCAGTACTCCTCTAGTGCATCTTGATTTCAATACTCTAACCACAAGTATCCCACAGTATGAATCTGAAATAGTAAATCCAGCTTCTAATTAATACCTCATTTGGAAGTTTAAATCATCTCAGAATAGACTTGAGCAATTAAACCTGTAAGTGGACCCTATCCTGAAAAACATGTCAAAATTATCTAGTTTATCTTAGCATAAATTATTCTACCATACATTTTGTTATGGAAGACAGAAATCAGAATTATTTTTGCAGCACATCTGTTTGTCACATATAGTCAATATTTCATAAAATGATAATTTTATGACTGAAAGTGATGAAAATCCATATATTTCTTTTTATTTCCTTTGGCATAGTCCAAACTTATCATTTTTGACTCTTTAATTAAATATCCTATGACTATGATGGATGTTGCTCAATCTTTTCTAGAATGTAGTCATGGCGACAGTTTCAAAATACAAAGTTCATTCCATCATCAACATGTTTAAGTTCATGTAACACTTGAAGGGATAAAGACCAATGACTGAAAAGGCCTCTGTGATCTGTCTTAAGGAATAAGATAAAATGAAAAGGAGAATAAAAAAGAAGGATGCATATCTAGCATCTATGAATACTAGATATGTGATGTTATTGTACCTAACGTCACTCCCAATCAACTAAATAGATATTTAATAATTTAAAAGCCATTTTAACTAAAGTCTGAAATCTTAGGCAGTTGTTTTTAATTTCATCTTCAGGAAAGTTATTATGAGATTCTTTTTCTATGGGAGATATTTTTAAATGATTATAATGTTCAGTGATTTATTTTACAAATTAAAAAAAATGGTATTTCCATTATTTAATCAAACAAATATAGTACAATTCCTTTAAGAGTAATCCAGGAATGATGCAACTTATTCAACAAATAATGCTCATATACTGTGAAATAAAAAATCCAGAATTGTTCATTTATTTGGCAGTGTTTTTAAAGATTTTATTTTTATTTTGTCAGCTTTTCTACTTTCCTGAACAGGAAAACCTACAAAAATAACCTTCAGGAGAAGATCATCTGAACTGAAGAAAAATTGCCAAAATACTCAAACCAATATATATATATTAGTGTCTGGATCCTCTTTTTAAATGTTCCCCTCCCCCTTTTTTCTTTTTGTAGTGCTGGGGGTTAAACCCAGGACCCTTCTCATGCTAAATCTGTGGAACACCACTGAGCTATACCCCAGCCTGGACTCTTATTAAGATAGAGATACATGCAGTCAATTAAGTGTTATTTTTG